GCAACCTCTCCTCTTCAGGGGAATAAGACTAAGAGAAAAAGAAACAGGCACGGTTGCCTGAGGGATTCTGGGAGTTGAAATCCACCTATCTTAAAAGTTGCCAAGGTTGGGGACCCCTGACTTAAGGCAACCAACCATCAACAGCGAAGTATAAGCTTAGCTGACTCACTCAGACCAAACCAAGGTCGGTTAGCGAAAAGAGAAGAGAAGAAAAATCGTAAAAAAAAAAAAAAAGGGGGCTCACTTTCATCAGCCGGTCATTCAGGAGACGGGACGCATCCCTGTTGGTGAGGTCGGTGTTTTTCACATCCTGGGTCAGCGCGGTGGTTGCCCGAGTAAAATCTCCGCGGGCCTGAAAGAGACCCGTGATATCCAAGCCCCGTTTCTGCAACAGAAAAGAAAACAGGACTGCTAGGTTAGCAACAAGGACACGCAACGGAGCTGCCTGGCAATTTATTTCAGTGGTTTGTGAGGCGCGGCCCAGACGCAGACTCCAGTTAACTCATTTCGACGGTTGTGTCGTGGACTCCAGCAGCTTCCACTCCTGGAACACGTCAAACCTTTTGGTAAGGCCAACTTGGAAATCTTTCTGCCGTTAATCCCCAACCTTTAAAACATGGCTAACATACCCAGGGTACCTTTAGGGGTCCTGGATGCTCTCTGATCTTGGTGGTTTTCATGCAGATTATTTTATTACCCGACTAGCAGGCTACCTGGTGCTTCACTAGGAAACTATGTGACCCTCCTCCCTTCTAGTGTTGATGTTGTTCCCTACTTGGGTCATGAAATGTCTGCAAGAAAACCACCAAGCTCAGAGAGCACCAAGCACCCCTACCGTTCGCTCTCGAGGTATAAATATTCTCTTGGTATAACCGAGCATTTCCAGAGAAATGCACTTGGATTTTAATCGATTGAATCTGTTTACATTAATAAATGTTGGACTTCATTTGACGGAGTTCTAAGCTGCCCAGAGTTGCCTTCCACAGGGAAATGGGTGGCATATACATTTTAACAAAGAAATGCCTCCTTTTTCGGTAGGCAGGCGTGATGTCTCAGTGGTTAGAAGATGCCTAGTTTTGTTTCAGCTGAAAAACGGTCAGTCTGGGTTTGAGACCCGAGCGCTACAGCCTGAGCTTCCATTCCTGCCCACCTAGCAGTCCAAACACACGCAATGCGAGTAGATAAATAGGTACCACTTTGGCAGGATGGTAACGGCGTTCTGTGTGCCTGTGGTGGCAGATAGCCATGCTGGCCCCATGACCACAGAAAAGGTCTTTGGACAAGGGTCTACGACACCTGACCGTCATGACCAGCTCTCTACGGAACAATGCGCTGCAGGACAAGAGTTATGCTACAATTGAAGAAATGGTCAAATAGAATCATTTAAAAAAAAAAGGTTGCCAAAATAAAATGGCAAAGGCCTTCAAACTTGGCATCCTTAAGACTGGTGGACTTCAACTCCCAGAATTCCCCAGCCAGCCAGCCGTGTCTGTTTCTTTTTCTCTTTAACCTCCTAAAGTGGAGAGAGATTGCAGAGGAAGGGATCGCAAGAGAATAAGCTATGCTGGCTGGGGGATTCTGGGAGTTGAAGTCCACAAAGTCTTTAGTCTAACGGTTAAGGCAGAGCTCTCCAAACTTGGCCACTTTAAGACCTGTGGACTTCAACTCCCAGAATTCCCCAGCCAGCCAGCCTTGTCTGTTTCTTTTTTCTCTTAACTCTCCTAAAGTGGAGAGAGATTGCAGAGGAAGGGATTACAAGAGAGTAAACTGTGCTGGCTGAGGGATTCTGGAAGTTGAAGTCTACAAGTCTCAAAGTTGGCAAGTTAGACTAAAGACTTTGTGGACTAAAACTCCCAGAATCCCTCAGCCAGCCAGCCATGTCTGTTTCTTTTTCTCTTTAACCTCCTAAAGTGGAGAGAGATTGCAGAGGAAGGGATTACAAGAGAGTAAGGCTATGCTGGCTGGGGAGAACTCTGGGAGTTGGAAGTCCACAAGTCTTAAAGCTGTCAAGTTTGAAGACCTCTGACAATGGGAATGACAAAAATTAAAAATCAATGTTTGATGATTTTGAATAATTAAATTGGATGGTTGAATTCATGGCTACGGTGAGTTGGCCGTGGCGGGTCAACTACAGCGAACTCTCCCCTTCCATTTGGACAATGCTGGCTCCCTCGGCTAACAAACGGAAATGAGCAACGGGCCGTACAGTTGGACACAACTGGAGAAGGGAAACCTTTTAAACTTTTACTGTCTAACCTTTCTAGAGATGGGAGTCCTCCCCAGCTGCTGTTATCGTCCGCTTTAACCTCCCCCGTCGGTCAGGGGTGGGTTTCAAATTTTTTATTTTTATTTTTTAACCACCGGTTCGACGGGCGTGGCTTGGTGTGCGTGCGCACCAAACACGCACTTTGCGCAGGCACAGACTTTCCGAAATCACCTCCTGCCCTCTTCCCTGTAGCTTCAAGCAGCTGCCGCGTGGCAATTGCTGTGCCGCGCAAAGCAGCTGCGCTTCCAAAGCAGGACGTAAACGTTAGTACGGGAGCCTGGCCAGGCAGGTGGGCCCAAACAGCACGGCATCGGGAGAGAACCGCTACTGGCTTGGCAGAACCCGGTAGAAGACCACCACTGCCGCCGGTTGTATTCGATGAACCGTCCCCCGCGCCCTTACCTTCATTTCCTTCTGGTAAGGGAGCAGGCGCATGATGAAATTTTGCAGCCGGCTGTTGTAGCTATTATAATCCAGGTAGAGCTCATGATCGTGAGTCAACCTGAGGGCCATCCGGCCGGCTATTTCGGCGGCCAACTGGAATGCCTTTTCCATCAGGGGGGCGCTGTCGCTAAAGGCCATGAGCAGGTTGCTGGGATTGTCCTTCGCTGTGCCGAAATAGGGGTAGGGGTAGGAGTCTCCGCCCTAGGAGGGAGAAGCAAAAAGAGGGAGCCATTCCACGCCGAATGGGGGGGGGGGGGTCTTTTTTCTCGCCTCCCATTTTCCCTCTCGGCGAGCTTTCCGCTAGCAGCGGATTGTCGGGAGAGAGAGAAAGTGGGAGTTCTGACAAGTTGCCAAACCCACTTTTGTTCAGAGTGTTGCAGCGTAAATTCGGCGGCAGAAAAGCGAACCCAGGTGGCTAAGGCTTCGTTTAACTTCTTTATAAACATATAAAGTAAATTTTACAATACCAGTTGTAGATTTCTCCAACACGGTGCAAACACAAACAGACGCAGACGTGTGACAGGTTCAGAGCAGAGCTCTGGTTTTCAGCAAGCAAGTAAGCAAGCAAGCTAGTTTCTCTTTCACTTTGGAGCTGAGCATAGGACAGAGATAAACGACGCCCAGATTGTCCCTTTAAGTTTCGGCCCTCATTACCTGACCTTGTTATTAAGCTCTATTCCAGTTCATGAATATACTCTGACAACTTTTTTGGACTGCTTCCATCGTCCCGAGAAGCAAAAGTGTTTTCCGTAACTGAACACACCCAAGATTTTCAAAAACTTTCTGGCAAAACTAGGTCCCAGCCTCTGCAAGATTTCACAGCACAGAAGCTATCTGGATCTCTGTTCCGATGGACAGGCCACCCTCTCTCCTATACAGGTAGTCCTCGATTTACAAAACAGTTCCGTTTAGTGACTTTCTGGCCTTGGGAAAAAAAAAAGTGACTTGTGACGGTTTTTCACTCATGCCGCAATCCTGTGGTCACGTGATCAAAACCCAGATGCCTGGAAACTGACTCCCACTTTATGATGGTTGCAGTGTCCCTGTGTCCCTGTGTGTGTGTGTGTGTGTGTGTGTGTGTGTGTCATGTGGTCCCCTTTGGTGACCTTCTGACAAGCAAAGATCCATTTAATGGCTGTGGAAAGAAAAGGGGTAAAAATGGGACAAAATTCACGGAACAGCTATTTCGCGTAGCAACAGGAATTCTGGGGCTCCGTGGTGGTTGTACCTGCAGTCCTCCCCCCCCCC